CTCAGATTTTGTAAGAAAAATAATAAAATTTCCCCCCAAAATGCGACATATATGTTTTTTTCTTCATTATACATTTTATGGCTGGTGCGAGATATACTCAGGAGCGACTTATAGTCCGGAAAATACGGTAATTGTATATTCTTTTAATGATTTCTGTTAGATCTTAAATTACACTGAATGAGTCATCTTGTTGAATTTAATAATGACTTATTTATCAGTATATTCACACATTAATATTGGTTTATTATTATGAATGTTTAACCTATTTACTTCACATTAAAGGAGATAACATCTCTAAGTGTTTGAGGAATGTGGTGGTGTCTGAGGGACTTTGGAAAACTCCCACATCAAACCAGTAAGCTTTTGATTTGTCAAAATTGATAAACAATAGTTATTAAAAGAGTTGATACTTCCTCTAAAGTCAGTTCTGCCAGTTGACCAGCCCGGCCAAGCTGAGTCAGTAAATCATAAGGAACCATCGTTCAAGGTCAAACATTCTTTGCAAAAGTGCAAAAATGCATCAGATGCAAAATAACTCTGCCAGCTTCCAGCAGACCCTGGGTAGTATCTTACGGCCGGTGACATTTTAATTCAGAGGAAGCTGCGACCTTTGGCATTCCAGAATTCAAATCCATCCAACTTACTCTGGGGTACCCCAGAGTAAGTTCTCACTGACCTGGAAAGTGGTCCTTTAGTGAAATCCAGACATGAGCAATCTGTGAAGGTCCAGTAAAATTAGGCAGAGGTTCTGATAGTGCAATAATGCATGAAATCCTCACCAGGAAACATCTGATAATCGTGTTGGTATAGAGGCTTTTTAGGGAGGCCAAGGGCTGGGATATACGTGCATTTAACCACGCGTACACATTTTTATCATGCCTCACATAATTTGTGTTAGTTTGAAGCGTTATTTGTGCATGTCCTCTGAAATTACCGCAACACATTCACTAGCTGCAATATGAGCGTAACCAGTAGGGGGAGTTGATAAAAAAAGAGTGTCACACTAGCTGTTGTCATACCATCTCTGGTTTAGAGGTTTTACTATCCAAGATACTACTGCTGTCATTTTTCTCAGTCATGTAGCGTGATGAATTGTCCATTTCTGACCTAAAGGCCCTGCTCTATTTGCTCTGACCAAGCAGAAACACAAGTTTCTGACACAAGCCTAATCTACAAGATATGGGCCAAGGCCACTCATGCTCTGTGCTCTTATCTAAACTGTTGCTTCCTCGGACGGCACAAGAAAGAAGAAAGAAGACGAAGAACTCTCTTCTTTTTAAATAATAATCAAAAACTTTGTTAGTCCAAATAATCATGTGAAGCTAATGTTCAATCAATCTGTGAAATGAGAATATTAAGTACTTGATATTATAATCCTATGATAGTGTTATAATAAGTAATATAATTTTAAACTAGACAATAGACTGATCACACAAAATGTTAAAATCACATGACACATTCCTTTTTCTGCTCCAATCAGAACCTTCCAGGTCTGACGCGAGGCGTGGTTTTGTTGGTGCTTGTTAAATCCCTTTTTGTGGCTAATTCTGACTCGACCATAAAACAAAACATCCAAATTATAAAACTACGCCCCACGTCATCTTAACTTGAGTTCCAAGCGTTCTAGAGAAGTTATCGGAGTGGCCAATCCGTAGCTTTCCTCTTAAAGCTGAAAGAACCTAACAACAAGCTGGATTAAATCTGTTGCATGTTCCACCTGCTGCAACGGTTCCTTCAGAATAAAAGCTGAACCATCACGACCCTTCAGGGCCTCGCTGATGCCAATACACTGTTGTGACCTGGGAGCAACTCAAGACTGGAAGGGTCGGCAACCGCTGCATATCTACAGGCGTCGGTTCCAAGATGGTCCAAGCTGGACCCCCGACATTCCGGATCTAAACGGGGACTTCCGTTGGGGTACGTAGACCGACAGATAGCGTCTCAATGTGTGTTATAATCTCCAAACCAAAGCTTAGAGCGAAACACCATCTCACTCCCATCAGAACTAATCGTTTCTCGGGATTTGCTGGTTCTGAACATATTTCACACACACACACCCTCCTCAGTGTTAAGCCTGGTTCATGCTTCTCCGTCAGCTCCGCAAGGGACAGACACGCACGGATTGACGGAAGCGTTTTGCTCTTTTACTTCTTCGTCTCCTGGAGAGTGTTGCAAAGCAATTCCCCGGCAGGACAACAGAGGGCGTAGCGCTGTTCTGTGGTATCCTGTCATGTATCGGTCCAAGATAGTGTGTTTATATTGTGTTTTTTGTGTATTTAAGAGACTTTTAACACAGACATATTTGTCTCTCATTATCCCACCGCTTCATGCACTCCCCACCTCTAAACCCACGTTTCCTGTCATTTCCGTCCACAAATAAAATGCTTGCTGCGCATCTTTTCACTCCTCCAGTCACGGGAGGATGAAACGTTCATATTTTTAGAGTTTTTTCACGAGGTATTCTTCAAGCTTCTCCGTGTCTGCCGCTAGTTATCCTCGGCTCTCTTTGCAATGGCGGCGTTGTAAACAACAGCGGCGTCCTGACCAATCACAAGCTTGCGTAATCCGTCTCGTTCGACGGATGTTTAAAAAAGTGGGCTCAACTCCGTACGTACTTGCGTGCCCTACGCAAGGACGGATAATGGCGTTGCGTGTCTCCGCACTGACGCAGACGGAGAAGCATAAATCAGGCTTTACTCCACCTTAGTTCATCATACACATAGTGTTTAAAGGTAGTCTTGTTCAAATTGTTTAGAAATAAATCTTTTAACTTTTAAACCTGACTCTCTCTCTTTCTTGGAGTTGATACGAAGTGTTGCTCAATCCCTGCAATAAAAAGATCCGATCTTCTGGTTAAATATATTCAAAGATCCATTAAGGTGATATTTCATATTTTATGTTTTACATTCTATGGTTTCTAATTAAATGTAAGAACATCTTCTCTACACTCATGATCTTAAAAATAAGCTGCAGATCTCGTCTGCTGTCACCATATTTGTCTTGTTATATGTTTGTATCCTACAAATTCAGCACTCTATCCGAGTTCTGTGATGTGCCCCTCCTAGCGGAGATCTCCAGTATTACATGCAGTGCAGCAACAAGTATGAACAAGACACAGCCGTCTGCCTGCATCCACACAAGTTAAAAAAGCTAATTTATTCCCTGTAAAATTCACCTACCTTTCCCGTCAGCCTAATATGCATCAGCAAGTAGTCAACAGTCATTGTGAAATTTCAGCTAGAAGCTACATTATTTACAAGTCATTATAAATTTCAAGTGCTTAGTTTACTGGAGAGATCCTGTAAAAACACATATTAATTTATGAGTGAAGAACAGCTTGTTCCACTTGATTGTCAGCTGGCATATTTGTATTTTTTATTTATTTATTTATTTCTTGTGTTAAAATAAAAGTCAGGCTTTTCCTCAGTTGGAGCATCAGAGTGACAGGATGCCATTACAGCTTTAGCGTCCCTGTTTGTTTTGATAAGCCGAAGCATCTGGCTGGACAGCGTTATCTAGGATTCAGTCCATCTGTGGAACAACTTCCCCACAACCCTTCAACGCTGCTGCCAAACATCACTGACTTCACCACATAAGATCCCCAAAGCTTGATGCTGCTGTTCCCTGCTTATGACTATAAAATGGGGCCTAAAATTTTAACAAAGACCAGTCAAAGGCTCGGGAGACAGCTGGTTTTTATGCTGTGTTTCGTTATTTGAGTTGTTTGGTTCCTCAATGGAGATAAAAACCGACAGGAAGTGTGACTGACTTTGTCTCAGCAGTAATATTAAACACAACAGCTTTGGGTCAAGCAAAACTTGGTTACGGAAAAAGATCCCAGAAACCTTCTGCAGTTTCCTTCTCAGCCGTCAGTATTAAATTCAATTGAAAATCTTTGGTGGGATTGAAAGAAGGCTGGTTAAGCATGAAAGTCGTCAAACATCACTAGCTAGAGACTTTAGCGTGTAAATAACGTGCAAAGATTCCCATCAAGAAGTCTAAGAAGCTCCTCCGCACTAACCCAAACTGTCTTTACAACTGCTGAAGGACGTGCCACAAAGTCCTGAAGCTGGGGTTCAAGGACTCTGGAGTGGCCATGCATGTGTGTAATCTGAAAAATGTCCCTCCTTCAATGGGAATGCACCCCAGCACGAGCAACGAGGAGATGGCGGAGGTTTGCAGTGGATCAACAAAAACAAATACTGAAGTCAGCGATTCCTCTACCGCCTTCTGCTTCTTAACGCAAATTTAAACACTTTCAAAGTCCTGCAAACCTCGCAGTGGGACATTTACGACCGTCAAGTAGAATTTACACTAATAAATGGCCTTTATTACTAGAAATGAAGTGTGCTTCATGACCTACAAGGGCTCAAAACGTATCAAATTTGGCAATTTTTTTTGGACAGGTAACTACTTAGTAATTTATTGTGTTTTAAAGAACTGTCACCAATTTTTTGCTTAAATAAAATAAATGATAGTGCACATATTTGATGTATGCTATGATTACTGCAGGCTAATTTAGCACTAGCTTAACTGCTAACTCAACCTGCATTAAATTAATGTCAGACGGTAAACGTCAAGCTAACTGGAACAAGAGGGTAGGGAATAAAAGAAGATATTACTTTTGTGTATTGGAGCTAAGTGAGTAGCGTAGCGTTTAACTGTATGTCGGTGTGTTGATTTAGCTCCTTCTGGAAGAGGAGGGGGAGCAGGGGTTAGAGCTAGAGCCGTTCAAATTCCAAAATCTCCTTTCCTTGATGAGATCATGCTACAGTCATTATCTTTTGCCAACATCACTATTATTGTTTTTAGGTTGGTGGTAGTGGTGAATATTTCTGATTGTTCATCAGAAGAAAAAACCAAAGAATTTGTACTTTTAAAAACAATGTCAAACTTGCACTACCTCCTCCTATTTCTAGTTTTATTTCTGTTCCTTTACAAGCCGAATGGCATGCGGTTGCCTGCTCTCTCCTCTAAGACGTTCATCGTCTCTGGCTCACCTGCACAGTTTGCACCGTGTAGATCTTCTTCAGGTTGGATTCACATTCTGCAGCTGTTGTTCCAGGTAAGGACCTGAAACAGTAAGTGAATAATGTTAAGAATTAACTGTATGAGACATGGAAGGATGAGTGCTAACACACACACACAACCTGGTCAGGAGGTGTTTTAATGAGTGTCACACAGCTGTTACACCTTAATGGATGGAAACTGCTGCATACTTTTAGAGCTCATAAATGAGCCGGAAGGTTTATTACTCTTCATGAGATGTGTTTGACACATTTACAGGACCATTATTCCAGTTCCTGTACACTGTGAGAAGAAATGTTAATTTTTAGGGCTCTGAAAGTAAGCAATATTATTTACTTTCCAAATTCAACTCAAAACAATCAGAAGAGTAACGCAAACAACAAAAAGGTTATTATAATTATTTTTGTCACATTCTGCTGTGCAAGAACTTGTCTAGCCTTTTGAATGATGCACACTTTGGCCTATCCATAAAGGTCACCTTTTTATGACAAAAAAAAACTCAGAGCAGGTAAAGATGGAAGAACGAGGGCAAAACACACAAGCTGCAACCCCGAAAGCGCAACTAAAACAGGCATTTTACCATAATAAACAACCTAGTGCTCTGGGGATTTCTTAACGCTCTTATTTTGACAAGCAAAACAGCTGCACTCCTGGTTTATTTTCACCTAAAATTTTTAAATTCATGCAATTTATGCATTTTACAAGTAGCGATCCTGTTAAATAGTCATGATTACAACACTGATCAAAATCCATCACAATTGTGTCTGCACATAACTGAGCAGCTTTATTCAGCTATTTACAATAATATATTAACTTTGAAAAGTGTAAATGGCACGTGGACCATGGGCCATTTATGCTGCATGTATTCACTGCTTACTAATGAGGTCATTTTTTAATCAACAGATGTGGGAAAATGTGGGTTTATTGTTATTTAAAAGCCAAAATTCCTAAAAATTTTACTTTTCCCCAGGAAGGACACCACAACAATGCCATTGGGAGGTAAATAAAGCAGCAAGAATAAATCATCTCTGTGAGGTACTAAAAAGGGGGGAAAGCAGGATTATAATTCGGTGATTGCTTTTACACCAATAAAAGTCTCTTATGTCAGCATGCCAAATAAAGACCTTAACAGAAGAAAACTCAGATTTCTTTCTAGGAAACGAATCATGAGTCCATTTCACTCCTACCCCAAGTCCCCTAGCCTCGTGAACTAGACCGAATTCTTGCTTTGCAAAGTTTATATTTTTATTTAGTCTGTCTTGCCAGGCTAAAGATCCCCCGCTAAGCGGTAAAACTTCAGCTGAACGTTGAATAACACCATCATTACACTAGTCTACTGCATATCAGTGATAGTTTGAACTGATATAACCTCCGTGTGTGGATGTGTAAACAGAAAGAGATCACTGAGACCCCAGAACGCAAACATTTCTCCCGCTTGCTCTCGGAGGCCTACGGGGAAGCTGTGGCCTTGAATCGGGGGGTTTTCCTTCACTGTCTCCCCGACAGCTCGGCCCGGGCTCCCAGCTCAGAGACAACCGCGGCACAAGCTCACAACCTTACCTGTCCAGCCAAAACGTCCAAGGTGAGTGCAACGGCAGCGTCGTCGCGTCGCTTTCTCGGTGTTTCTTTGTGATATTTTCCAACTCTTTCTCGTCGATGTCAATGTTGTTCTCAGCGGGGACCGTTTGGACGCTCAGGGTGCCTCGGTCCATCTGGACATCTGTCTGACCCGCGGGGACCGCCATTTTACCCAGATAGACGATAAACTTTCCGCTGACTTTCTGTCTGGATCCTCTGGATAAAAATACCCGGTTCTGCCTTTTTTGCAGATACCGAAACACACTACCGCTTTTCCGCCTACCAACGGATGACGTAGGTGCGTCACTGGACATAAACGTCGCTGTTGGTCCACCCCACAGATAAGGCAAAGATGAAGAGGTCTCACTCTGCTCAGTTTCGGTTTGCGTCTGATAATCTGAATACAAGTCTCCACCAGAGGCGGATTTAGGACTGAAGAAGATCCGGGGTTTAGCACGCGCGCGCGCACACACGCACGCGCGCCCGCGCCACGCACTAGTCAACATCATCTATGTCTTGTACCACATAATTTTTAATCTGAAGCTACATATTAAGCATTTTCAGGGCGTTTAGTGTGAGATGATAGTAAATATTCCCTTTCTTTCTCCATCCACTTTACCTGATAGTAAGCTAACTTTAGGCAAACAAGCAGCACAACAAATATTTTCAAATAAGACTCACAAACCTGAGTCAACACCAGTCTCATCAAAGCTGGGGTTCTGTCGTTGTACTTTTTGTCTAAAAACGTCCTTATGTCCATCTTCACTCATGCGTTTCATGCAGAGAGTGTAGAAGAAGCTTGGGCTACTTGGGCTGAAGCCCCGGGTGTTTAATGAAAAGCACCGGATCTAAATCGCGGAAGTAACATGCAGTACCAAATTCCAACAGAGAGGGAGCAGCTGGCAGTAGTTTGTATACAGCCTGCCTGAGCCTCCACCACTGAAGAAGAAGCCCTTCAGCAGCCGGTTTCTTCTACACTGTCATTCTCGCTTCCTCAAATGCGCCCTCGCTCTTCCCACATTTCGAGGATGGGTCTGTTGTATCCTCACAGAACAAGGCTATCCCAGCATGCTTTGCGCGCCGGCTGTGGATTTTCAACAGGAAGAGAAAATGGGGAGAGCTACGAAGTTTTAAACGTAAGTTTGTTAAAAACTAGCCGTAGAAACCTAAAAAGCTTAAAGCGGTTCAGTTTATAGACATTTTTCGTTTGTATATTTGTTTTTTAAATTACATTTTAGGCAGAAATCAGCCAGAACGAGTTTGTATCGCGGGTCCCAGTTTTTCCCGTGTGTGTGTGTGTGTGTGTGTGTGTGTGTGTGTGTGTGTGTGTGTGTGTGTGTGTGTGTGTGTGTGTGTGTGTGTGTAGCAAATTAAACTTGTCATTTGTTTTAAGGACAACGGAGCAAAGAAGCGTTTTTATTAAGCTTAGAGATGAAGCGTGAAGCTGTTCACACACACAACCACAGAAGTTCTTCTGTGAAAAGTAGTTCTACATTCAGGGATTTACACAGCTGACCCGTTTTAATGAAGTAAAAAGTTTGTGTGAAAAATATAATTTTTATCTTCTCTTGTGGATAGATGTAAAATGTGTTTATTGCCATTTTGTCACCTGTGGTTTCTGATTTCTCTGTAGGACTGCCGATGTCCAGGGTAAGGAGAGGCTTTACCTGTTGGTCATCCTGGGAGAAAGGCCTTCTACTGTAATCATGTTTTTTGTTGTTGTTGTATTTTTTATTCCGTTTATTTTCATTTATTGACATTACAATTAAAATACAGAAATAAATTGCTACAAGCCAAAATGAAAAAGGGGACGGAAAGAAGAAAAACTTATCTGCCCCTTTTAACTAAAATAACATTAATACAAATGAAACAATCACGATTCTTAAAAAAAAAAATTGAACAATATAGTTCCTGGACTTGTTGGCCCACACAATCTCAACCCATGAATCGGAAAAAAAGAGAAAACAAGTTACACAGATAGAAGCATAAAGTTATGATGAATGATAAATGACCTGCACTTGTATAGCGCCTCTCAGAGTAAGGACTCCAAAGCGTTATACACTACAGTGTATCATTCATCCATTCACACACACATTTACACACTGATGGTGATGAGCTACAATGTAGGTGGCAGGCGCCACCACCAGCAGGCAAGGTGGGTTAAGTGTCTTGCCCAAGGACACAACAGCAGAATTCTCTGTCCGGAGCCAGGATCGAACCTGCAACCTTCCGATTACAGGACAACCTGTTGAGCTATTGCTGCCCCAAAAAATTATGTTTTATAGACCTCTATACATACATATGTACACAAATGAATACATAGACTTGTTTCCTTTTTTTTTTCTTTCATCCCCCCAAGCCCCCTCCCCTCACACATTTATGTAACAGATCTAAATAGGTAAATCATTTCATTTTTTATCTTTTTGAAAGTCAATATTGTTTGTGCATTCTTGATTTCAGTATTTAATTCATTCCACAATTTAACTCCATAGATGGACACACAATGTTCCTTTATGAGTATCCGATGTCTAGGTATGTTAAATAATTCATGTCCTTTTAAATCATATTTTCTATGTCTTTTTGTAAATCTTTTGATTAATCCTGCAGGTACGTTCCTTTTGTTTGCATTATACATAAATTTTAAAACATTGTAGTCCACCAGATCATAGAATTTTAGTGTTTTTAATTTTATAAATAATGGATTGGACAGATCTCTGTAGTTGCTCCTTGTGATTATTCTTATTGCTTTTTTCTGTAAGATGTAAATGGAATTTGTGTAAGTTTTATATGTTGTTCCCCGGATTTCAATGCAGTAATTCAGGTACGGTATGATCAGTGAGTTATATAACAAATACAGTGAATTATTATCAAGCAACCCTTTTGCTCTTTGTAACAGTGCAATAGTTTTAGATATTTTAGTTTTGACACTGTTTATATGCAGTTTCCAAGACATTTTTTCATCAATGATAACTCCCAGATACTTGACTTCTTTAACTCTTAATATTAATCTCATCTATATTTAATAAAATTTCATCATTTGAATATGTATTACTAAACATCATAAAACATGATTTATCACTGTTTAATGATAGTTTGTTCCCATCAAACCACAGTTTAATTTTTTTCATCTCTGTTTGCATCACTTCTATCATCTGCTCAACATTATCTCCTGAATAGTAAAAAGTTGTATCATCTGCAAATAAGGTGCATTTTAATATATTGGATGACTCAACAATGTCATGTATATAAATGATAAATAGTTTAGGACCCAATACCGACCCTTGTGGTACACCACAAGTAATGTTATTTATATGTGATTTTGTGTTGTTTATTTGAACATATTGCTGCCTATTGGTAAGATAACTTGTTGTCCATTTTAGGGCCATCCCTGTGATGCCATATTTACTAAGTTTTTTAATAAGAATTTTATGATCCACTGTATCGAAATTTTTTTTTAAATCAATAAAGATACTTATGAGATGAGTTTTTTTGTCAATGGCTTCCGATATTTCTTCTGTTAATTCCATTAATGCCATGGATGTTGAATGATTTGTTCTAAAACCATACTGACTGTCATTTAATACCTCTTCTTTGATCAGGAATCGGTCCAACCTAGCAATATATAATTTTTCTAATATTTTTGAGAATTGTGACAATAAATATATTGGTCTATAGTTGAAAAAGATATGTTTGTCTCCACTTTTATGAAGTGGTATGACTTTTGCAATTTTCATCCTGTTGAATGTTAATGTTATTTAGCTGTTTGATATTTGAACACATTTATTAAAACAAATACTAATAACTCTTTCTGGTCATTGATTTTATCACCAATTTTATTAGATGTTTTTTGAACATGTTACATGAACAGAAAATGAAAAGATGGTAAGGAGACAAGATTATTTATAATAGGTTAAACTTACTTAAACTAACTTTAATGAACTTTTGACACTTGAAAATAAAACAGTGAGCTGAGCAAAATGTTCTTAAAAGTGTGTTACTTTTTCTGTACTAATTATTTCCTGTCTTAATATCAGTAAACTTTTCACTCATGAAAAAAATGTGAGCAAAATGTAGGCTATAAACAAGTAATAAATAAAGTTTTAACCCCTCAAAGTGGAGAGGTCCTGGCGACCCACTGAGAGGCTTTGGCGCCCCCTTGTGGGGGTCGGGACCCCCAGGTTAGGAACCACTGGTGTAGAAAATAACCGGATTTTTCGCCACCAGGATACTCAATATCTTGAAAACATTTATTCAAAGTTTCATCATGTCGCTGCTCCTCTCCTAAACTCAGCCGGGTTTAGAAAAGAGAGCTCGACTCCGTCCGCCCTTGCGGAGCTCTCCAGCAGGCCCGCAAGGACGTTGACGCAGACGGAGAAGCATGAATCAGGCATAACACGGTGGGTCAGTGAATACTCATCCACAAGTAACGCAGCAGAAGACAGGGTTACTACTTTCTGTTGATTTAAATACAACACAGTTCACTCAGGTCGACATCTTTTGAATTTTTTCTAAGATAATTAATTCCTTTAGCTTGGAGAAAGAGGACACTTTTGATGCTGCAATCATTTATCAAACAATAAAACTTTTCCTCTGGAGAACTCGACAGAGGTCTGGTGTGGCTTTTTATGAGACAATGCTCTAAATCTCTGTAAGTTTCTGGGACCAGTTCATATGCGGTTAGCACTGCAGTTTTGACACAATCATAATTCAAACTGTCAGAAAGGGATAAAGATGACAGTACCTCTTGGGCTTTACCGGTGAGCTTGCACTGGAGAATCAACGCCCACACGTCACGAGGCCACCCAAGAGCTGCCGCAATGCGCTCAAAACCTTGGAAGTAGCTGTCCACCTCAGCCTTCCGAAAGGGTGGCACCAGCTCAATGCTCTTACTGATATCCAGTCTCTGTCATTCTCCAGGGGTAGTTTTCTCCTCTGACTTTTCCTCCTTGTGCGTCTCCACAGTCTGTACAGTTCCTTTTGAGATCTCTGCTTGTCCCCAAGCCTGGCTCTCTAGTTCAAGTCTCCTCAGCTGGATCTTTGTGTCCGCCTCCAGATTCATTCTGCGGATCTCCAACTCCATTTCCATCTGGCGGCGCTTCTCCTTCTCCTCGGCCTCATATTTTAACCAAGACAAACAGACTTGCAGATGTAGTTTCAAGCGCTCCGGCGAACTCGGAGTAGAGGCTGGTAAAACAGGATCATATTTTGGCAGAGTTAGTGGTGAAGGAGGAGTCTTAATGTCAGCCGGCGGGGTCTGGTAGCCGGGAGCCGTTTCCTCGGGAGCCGCCGTGGATGGTCCTGCTCCGTCCTCATCTCCTGTGAAATCATCCGCACGCGGGGCAGGGACAAGACAATCTCCAGTCTCCTTGTCAGGCAGCATGTTTAGGCTTTCTAAGGCAGAAATTACAGTCTGTTTTAGTTCCTTTTTAGCCAATGTGCGGGTGCCATGTAGATCAAGGTGCTCAGCCACCTCCACCAGATCGCTCTTGCAACAGGCCTCAAGCGCTTCCCTCGACGGTGC